CACTTCACCCCTCTACCCCTCAGTTTCCTCAACAGTAGCAACAAGAATGGCCATTGACCCTAGTTCCACATGTTGTCGTCAGGGTTAAATGAGTGACGGCAGAGCCACGCCTGGCACCGTGTCAGAGCGCAGGCTCCTAACCCATGTGCACGGCAGCCCCCCGGGCCGCTGCAGCGCTTCGAGCCTGGATGCCGCTCGTCTCGTCTTGCCCCCCAGAGCTCAGGCTTTGAGGACCCTCAGTGTCCTCCCACACTGGTCCAAGAGTCCGGACCTCACCACATGTCCCCAGAGCTTCAACACCCCTCGTGCATGCGCAAAGGTGTCCATTTGGTAGAGGGCTCCTGGCTCAGGGGCTGGGAGGAAATGACACCCTGCCTTTCAGCAGCCCCTGGGGAAGGGTAGCTGATCTAGTGAGTGAATGACAGCGTGACCAGACGTGTGCGAGGGGGAGATGAGTTTCTGGCTGTTAAAGGCATTTTGGTGCTTTGTACCCACATACTTTGCAAGTTATTGTATTGATTTTGCAAGAAACAAGATACGGAAGGAAAGAAAAACGTGAACTTGTACGAAAATCAAATCAGTTGTGTCACTGAGAGCCCGTGTGGGTCCCGCCCCACGCTGGGTCTGGAGAGGGATGGAGATCCCGGGGGGCCTTTGTCTCCCCCAGCACTCCCCACCCCATGCTGTGGAGGTCTGCTTGGAACCTGGGAGGGCTTGTCCATGGGGACTGGGTGGTGACTTGGAGCTGAAAGGGGTGTGGGATCCTCATAGCCAGGCTGGCTGCCGGGGCTGGAGGTAGGACCCCAAGAACCCTTCCTGGGGAGTCGCTTGTCAGCTGGCTGCTCTCTGACTGCTCCAGCGGACCTCCTCCCGGGAAGACACTGTTAGAGCAGTGGCGGCAGCATCGCACCACTGAGGGATCTGATCTCAGCCCTGACACCATTTGCCACCTGACTTCATAAAAACGTCAAACAGCCCCAATATGGAAATAATGTGCAGTGAGTTATTCTTACGCCACGTCAACCATAATGGAAGATCAGCCCGAGATGGCCTGTATTTCTTCCTGCTCCCTGAAGTGTAATAAATGGAAATTTTTAAAGCTCAGCATTAGGACGGCTCGCCAGCAGCAATCCCGGGCCTGCCCGGCGGAGGCCACGGGCTGGGGGATTCCTAGTGTTGCTGCAATAGCCCCAGGTCCAGCAAAAACCTGGGCCTGCTTGACTTGTGTGCCTCTGGGGTTGGCACCCTCCCTGCATACATCCCAGTCTGCCAGGAAGCCTAAAAGCCCTCGCTGGGATTGCGGTCCAGGCCCTGCCTCCCCCTGGCCCTGTGACCTTGACAGCTCACTTGGCCTCTGGTACTTTCACCTCTAACACGGGGTTAAAAGTCCCCACTTCTGAGGCTGTTAAGGGCTGAAGGAGACAAACAACAGCGACATCCACCGTTGCTTTTTTTGGCATTTTCTCAGTGCCAGGTGCTGTGCGAAGCACGCTCACGTTTTCACTGGTTTATCCCGCACGGGTGGTAGGATGTGACCGTCCCCACTCTACAGATGAGGAAACGGAGGCGTGGTGAGTTCAGTGACTGGCTCGAGAGGCAGCCCCCCCAGGTCCGGCCCCAGTGCCCACGCTCTGGCCCCGCTCGTGGTGCACCTGGTGCTTAGCAGCTGCCACACGGGTTGCTTTCCTGTCTCTTCCCTTTGGGATGAACTCACGCATCCCTGGAAGGCTCCGGTCACGACGTGTTTCCTCGGCGCCGCCATGTGGGTTCAGACTCCGAGTTCTGTCCGTTCTTCCTGATGTGTCTGCCTCTCATTCTACAGTCCCCGCCTGGCTCAGGTCACTGTGACACGGCTTGAGTGGCTTCCAGGGTAGCACCAAGCCTCTGGGCTGTTCTCTCCGCAGTTGGAATTCTCTCTTTATTTTAATCCATGTTACTCTTTCCAGAGAGTGGCTTTCCATGGGGGGCAGCGGAGCCCAGTGGTTAAGGTTTGGGCCCTGGAGTTGGAACAACCAGGCTCCTCTGCTGCCGGCCGTGTGCCTGTGAGCAAGTTGCTTCCCCTGAGTGAACCTCAGTTTCCTCCGAGGTCAGTTGGTCCCCACGGTGGCGCCTTTCTCCTAGAGGTGTTGTGGCGCTATTGTGAAGCAAGCCAGCTAGAGCCCAGGGCCCTGGAAATGGTCCCCAAGCAACAGTAGCCGGTGTGGCCACTCACGCCCAAACCATCAGGGCCGAGGTAATCCTCTCTCCAGCCCGGTGGGAGCTAGGACTAATGCCGGCAGGCCCGCCACTGCCTGCATGCTGTCTCTGCGCTCCTTTCTGCCTGGGGATAAATCGTCCCTCTCCCTGCTTGCTCCAGGGAGACTGGGGAAAGGAAGGAGCATGTCTAGGTGTACCATCTGTAAAATGGGGATAAAAATAGAGCCTTCTTTCTCCAGAGGCTCAGAGATTCAGCGGCATCATGTTGATGAAAACCTCCTTCAGCTGAAGGGGGCGCTCAGCAGATGGGAACTGCTGTTGTCTATCGGCTCTGCCCTGTCGAGCTACTCACAATGGCTCTCGCCTGCCTCCTGGCCCTGGGCCGAGCAACTTGGCCTGGCAGCGGGGCCCCGCCGGACACCTCCCTTCCACTACTAGTTATCTGACATCCTCTCCCACGCTGGCCCATCTGCTCCTGCCTGCCCATTTCTTTTGTTCCTTGCACACCGCCCTGTGCAGACCCTTCCATTTCTCTCCACTTCCTCTCCGACTGGAGCACCTCCGCCACCCTCTTCCTGGAAGACCACGGCAGCATCCTCTCTGGCTGCCCTGGTGCTACTCTTGTCCGCCAAAGCCCCTCGTCCCTGCAGCAGCCAGAGGGAGATCATGCCACCCTCCTCCTCGGTCCTCAGAGAGCAGCTGTGGTTCTCCTACAGACTAAAGACAAAGCTAAGCTTTGCGTCCTGGCTCACGGGCCTCACTGATGTGATCCCCATCCGCTTCCTCAGCATCGCCTCCTCCTGGCCTTCTCTGTGTAGCTGGCCAGCTCCACTGGCTGTCTTTCTGTTCTGCAGCACCGAGTTCCTTCCTGTTCCTGTCTCAGGACCTTTGCACTTGCTGTTGCCTCCACTCAGGGCACCTTTCCACTTAAAGCTCTACCTGGCTGTCTCCTTTGCATCATTTAGGTCTTAGTTCAAATGGCTCTCCTTAGCAAGGCCTCTGACTTATGCGTGAATCCAGGGCTGGCTTTGGGCAGCCCTCCATCCCCAGCCCACCCCACCCCCCACCGCCCCCGGCCTTCCCAGAGGCCCTGGAGTCGCCTGCGGGGAAGATGAGACTGCGCCTGACTTCTCATTTCCTCTGTCGATTATGCTCTAACAACGCCAGTCACCTCCCTTGCTCCACATCATTTTTCTCAGTGTGTCTTGATCCCTTCCAGTCACTGAGGGAAACGGGCCACCGAGCCCTCCTCCCAGGCCCAGCATGGAGCCCAGCTGCAGAAATACGCTTTCCTTGGCGCCTTGAAGATGGGGCTTTTGTGGACTGAGGCTGCTGGCAGTGGGGTGGGGCTCGGATTAGGGTGCCGTGTGGGGAAGCTGCAGGAGGAGGCTGGGGCCTCGGTTTCCCAGCCCGCGTAATGGGGGTATTAGCAGTGCACACCTCCCAGATCTGCCAGGAGGACTGACGGGCGATATTGGAATGAATGGCAGCCTGCCTGCTCCCCGCCTCCCGTGTCGTTACTCTTCTGGCATCTGGGGTGAGCTCCTGGACATTCCGAGGAAGATGTTCTCTGCCCTGTTTGGAAGATGAAAATGGTCCCAGGCGGACTCTCCCCACAGAGCCCCGCCTTGGCCAGCTGTCCTTGGGGCATCCTTTGCCCTGGCTCCCTCATTTTCCTTTCATAAATCAGTGCGCCCCCCTTCACTGGGTGGCCTCAGGGATCAGATTGCGTGCATGTCCTTTCAGTAGGGGTCGAGTTGGCTTTTCTTTTTTCCCTGTTAGCACCAGCCTTAATGTCATTTACTGTTTGGGAGGGACAGTGGCCTGGCAGTTGAGAAAGCGAGCTGGTCTGGACGATACAAGTGGTGTCTTTGCTCCGGTAGCTCTGTGACTTCAGACAAGATGCCACCCCTCTCTGAACCTCAAGTGTTTGCCTTCAGTGATTTATGAGGTGGTTTTCTGCTTGGAGATTCTAGGGTTCAGAAATCAGGGGGAAACTCAGTCGCAGAACAAACTTAGGGTTCGTGCGTGAATGTGTTCTCTCCGGGGGAGAATGTCTGTCTCTGGGGCCACACAGGTCATTGTACCTATCTCCACGGCCCCACTTTGCTAGGATAGGAGGCCTGCTGTGTACATGTGGACGGAAGGAAGAGAAAGAGAGTGAGGAGGAGAAGCTTTGAGTCAGTGGCTCTTAACCATCGAGAATCTAGTGAAAGTCATGTACCAGGAAATGCTCACACACACAATATTTTGCCTACCATTTAAAAGGGGTTCACAACTCCGGTTAAAAATGTCTACTTGGCAAGTCCCCACTGAACAAACTGTGCGCACCTCCTCCAGGAAGGCTTCCCAGCCCCCATCCTGTGTTCCGGGGTCCCCATACCCTCCCCTTCCTGGTGCCCTCAGAGGCGCTGTCACTCCCGGTCCCTGCCTGTCTCCCCCACGGGAGGGCAGGGGCCACCTTGACTGTTCTGTGCAAGCCCCATGTCTGGCACTGAGGGGCAGCAGCGAATATCTGCTGAATGGAACTGGGGACTCGCTCCTGGCACTGAATTGGGGGTGGCCTGGCTTTACTTCATGGGGCAGTGCTAGTTCAGTTTTGAGTGGGCTCAGAACCCAGCTACCCCTACTGCAAACACCTCTGCTTCCCCCTCTGTGGGTTGAACACCCGTGAAGCGGGGGGGTCGCCTGTAAAGTACTCTTCTGCCTGGGAGGGGCCGGGCTGGGCTGGAGGGGAGGGACGTTCCAGGAGACAGTGTCACAAGGCCTCTCTCCCTTTCCCCTCCCCCTCCTGCCTGGTCCAGCTGCAGCAGAGTGAAGCCAAGTGTGAGGATGCCTTGAAGACCCAGAAGGCGCTGACGGCTGACCTGGAGAACATGCACAGCGAGCTGGAGAGCATGACCCGCAGCAAGAGCCTGGTACCGGTCCCTCCCGGGGTGGGGGGCCGACTGTGTGCGCAGCATTAGAGGAGGGGCCGGGGCACTCACTGTACTGTACTTGGAGGTACAGACATCCATTGTAGACCTACTGGGTGCTGGACGCTCCGAGAGCACAGGCAGCCTACTCAGAGCTGAGCGTTACAAAGGTGTAAGGGCACACGTGAGGGTCAGCTGTGTGCTCACCTGTGCGAAGGGAGGCCAGGAGCCCTGCTGTGGACCCAGTGTGTGCTCAGCCCCATGCGGATGCTTCCGGTACGAGCCTGTTGTTCGCTCAGCACCTGACGTGGGAGCACAGCTATCTATTGTGAGCCCACACTGTGCCCACCACTGGAAGCAGCTCCCAGCCATCTATTGTAGACCTACTGTACACACACACACACACACACACACACACACACACACCCCACCCCCGAGAGCACTTGGTCACCATTGTTGGGCTACTTCTTCACATCCTTTCTTCTAAGAGCCAAGGGTAGTCCTGGGGGCCCACTTGGGCTCACTCCTAAGAGAGACCCAGCCATCTGTAATGGGCCTGCTGTGTGCTCAGCGCTGAACAGGAGCAAATGAACATATACTGTGGATCTGTTATGCTGGTGAAGATTGGGTGTGGGTTTCTAAGCGCCCCGTCTGGATGCACAGGGTTGGCTCAAATTTATACGCAACATGTGAAATCCGAAGTTTAGACAGAGCTAGAGATTTATTGGCAAAAGCTTTTCTCAAGATCCCCATTGGCCCTTTTGTCCCAGATTTTATTTGTGCTAGATCAAGGGGAACTTGCCCGCAAACATTCACACACATGCGCACACAGGGATGAATGTACACACTCACATACAGAATCACCAGACACACATATAAAATAAACGCCCTCACAGGTAAGATATACATTTAACTTTAGCCATATTTATTGAGATCACTGACACACATGCACCATGCACACTTAAACTCTATGTATGTAGATTCCCAGGTAGGCTTACACGGTCATATATCCATTCACGTACACACATGCTGCATTCACGCAGTCGCAGGCAGGCCCAGCACACACACACACACACACACACACAGCATTCATTGACACAGCCATGGTCTGCCTGTGTCACTCACCTGACACACCCACAGGCAAGTCCGCCTTTGTTCTTTTTTTTAATTTTTTTTTTAATTTTTTAAAAAATTGTTTGGCTGCACGGCATGTGGGATCTTAGTTCCCCGACCAGGGATTGAACCCACGCCACCTGCGTTGGAGGCGGAGAGTCTTAATCGCTGGACCGCTAGGGAAGTCCAGCCCCGCCTTTGCTCTTCATCAGCCCCCTGTAGTCCCCCTTTACCCCCCTTTCTCTCACCCACCATCATCCTGCCGCTGCAGGTGGACCAGCAGCTGTACCAGCTGCAGTTTGAGAGGGCGGACCTCCTAAAGCACATCGAGGAGGACCAGGATGACCTGAATGACCTCATGCAGAAGCACAAGGACCTCATTGCTCAGGTAGTGGCTGCCGCTGCAAGAAGGCTTGGTGGCCTTGGGGGGGTAGGTGGGGACAGTGAGAAGGTGCTGTTGTCGGGCCACTCCCTGGTGCTAGGACCTTGGAGGGATAAGTGCTACACAGGTAAATAGCAACTGTGAATCACACTTACTTTCATTCAGAATGGAAGTTTATTTGTTCATTTACAGAAGCAGTAGATTCATATGCCCCTTATAAATAATTTAAATAATAAATACCTGTGGAAAATAGAAAGCTAGGGGCCCTCCTATCCTCTGGAATACTTTTCTTTGGGGATAGTCGCGTTCAACAGTTTGGTTCAACTCATTTTTAAAGGGCTTTTACTCTCCATTGCCTCATTTTAATCTGTGGACAAACCCTATGTAGAGGGTCTCAGCAGAGACTATCAGCCCAGTTTACAGATGGGGATACTGAGGTGCAGAGTGGTTCTGTGGCTTGCCAAGGCGGGTATCCAGGTCTAGAATCCCAGTTACCTGACCTAGAATAGTTCTCTTCCCTTAGAATTCTGGTCCTGGTGCCGCAGCCAGCTCATTCTGTCTGGGCTCTCAAGGGTGTACAGTAAAGTGCTGGACAGTTGACCGAAGCTATGGGCCTGTGTGGTGGGAGTGACTGGGTGTGCACCGAGATGAGGGATACTGGGGAGAATGTGAGGTGCCCTTTAGAACCAGCTGTTGTCATGCTCTGTGACACGTAGACATCTGTGGGCAGGGGAGAAGGGACTTCCAGCAAAGCCTGTGGTCTCAATGTGACATTTTTCGTCTTACCAGTCTGCTGCCGACATTGGGCAGATCCAGGAACTGCAGCTGCAGCTAGAGGAAGCCAAGAAGGAGAAGCAGAAGCTTCAAGAACAAGTACGTGCTCAGAGTCGCCGTGTTGTGGGGGAGGATCCTGGGAACTGTCATTCATTCATTCACTCAGCGTCAGTTGCATGAGAGATGGATTGAGGACAATCCCAAGCGAGGGGAGATAGGACACACACACACACACACACACACACACACACACACACACACACACACACACACACACACACACACACACACACACACACACACACACACACTCCTACCCATGCTTGTTCAGGGTCCATAGATGCCCCACGCAGTGAGGCTCATCAGGGATTCCGTGCAGGATGTCTACCCCTGAGAAATGGCTCCAAGGAGAAGGGTCTGGTCATCCTTTGTGACATCTTCCTTTGAAGTCACGGTTCGTCCAAACACCCCTAAATTTTCCTCATTACCTAGTGGGTTGCTATCATCCCTGAAATTCTCAAAGCTCTTCTAGAACCATTGCGTGTGCCCACTTAGCGTGGCTGTCAGAGTGACCTAGTCTCCAGCAGTACCTTTGGGCACAGAGTGACAGCAAGCGGAACAAAAATGACAGCAGGAGTGGCCACTTGCTGGGTGCTTGCTGTGTACCAGGCACTGATCTCCTTCACACACAAAAATGAAGAAACAAGCCTCAAGGGAAGACACTGACTTGCCCGACACACCCAGCTAGAAAGTGGGGAGCCAGGTTTGGAACCCCGAAATATGTGCTTGGCTCCCACACCTGCTCTTGGTTGTGTTCTCGATGCTAAAGCTCACTGTCCACTGACTGGCTTGGTGTTTCATCAGGGCAGGAGGAAGGGGTAAGAGAGGCACTGAGTGGAAGGCCTGTTGGAAGCTGAAGGCACAGGAAGGGGCAGCACCCCGTGTGGGGTCCTCAGCTGGGATCCAGCAGTTCATGCTTGTGCACCTGAGCGGGGAAGGAGCAGCGTGGATGGGCCCAGGGCTGGGTCTTGCTGGGACCCCCGATTCTGGGACTCGGGGCTGCTACGTGGTCAGTGGCCTTCTTGGGTGTGTCCCCAGCTGCAGGTGGCCCAGATGCGCATTGAGTACCTGGAGCAGTCCACCGTGGACCGAGCCATCGTCAGCAGGCAGGAGGCGGTCATCTGTGACCTGGAGAACAAGACGGGGTTCCAGAAAGTGCAGATCAAGAGATTTGAGGTACTTGTTGGCATGTAAATATTGCTCAGGCCTAGAGCTATGAGGGCTTTCATGTAAACTCCATCCACCTGCCCACTCATATGCCTTTGTCTGGATCTGTATCACTCATCCATCTCCTGAGTTCCCTTCCTCCATCCCTCCTTCCTGTCTTCAATCGCACTGTCCCACAGGCTCCCCATTCACTCAGCCTAGTCACCTCCTCTGTCTCCATCTCCATCCACCATCATTGGTCCATCCATCATCCCCCTTTTCCATTTGTTCTTCTTCCTTTCTCTATTTTTTCTTCTCTTCCTCTATTCTTTTTTTTTCCTTCAGACCTTGACCCCTCTGTCAGTCCATGTTTTTATCCATTGATCCAGTTCTGCCCATCTCCATCTGCTCACTCATTCCACGTATGCACCCGACACTTGTTTTGAGCAGAACTTTATTTTGCCCCTAGTGTGTGTTAGGCTTTGTGTTGGGTGTGTGGAAGACGGATGTATTAAATAGATTCTGCTTTCCAGAAGCATAGAGCTTTGTAGGAGATGTGGGTAAGATATGTATGTAAACACCCATACTAAGGAGGAGAGGGCTGTGAGGTTTGGAGGATGGAGGTCCTTTCAGGCTGGAGAATCAGGGAGGCTTACAGGAGGAGGTGGCTTTGATGCTGGACCTTGAAGGACAGGTAAGACTTGGATGGGCCGGGGTGGAGTTCAGTGACTGTCTTGGCATTTAGCTCTGTACACCAATGGCATGGGACATTTACCGAGGAGATCACCATTGCCAAAACCTTCCACATCAGCTATTCCACATGATGTTCATCACAGCCCCATGGGGCATGCAGGATAGAATGAGAAGATGGCCCCAGAGAGGTCAGGCGAGCTATTCAAGATAAAGCCAGGTAGTGTCAGTGACGGGAGGAGATTGACTCTTGACCTTCGCTCCATCCTGGTCTCAGGTTCTAATCTCCCTGCAGCCAGGGGGCGACGGTATGTCTGAGCGATGGGAGGCTGCTCTTCTCATTCTGAAACATTTACTCCCATTTCCCTGTTGGGCTTTTGGTCTCTAAGAAGGCTGCTCTGGATGAAGACCAGAGAAAAATTCTTTGCATTGGCCCTCAGTGCTTCTCGGAATTGCTCAAGGGGTCCCTCAAGGCATAATCGTCTCTGCAGATCACCATGAAACTTTGATCTCCTATATTTTAAATGACTAAATACATAATTTTAGCTATATCACATATCATTTTTTGCTTGATTCTAGCATGGTCAAGTGATAGCAGAGAAGAAAACAACTGTAGAGTAACTTTAAATGGCAGATTCTGTCTCCAAATTCGCTTTTCCCTCTGCCATCATTATTGGAATTTAGTAGAATCCCAGGTCCTTGAGATGGGGTACCTTGGGGACACAATTGGAGGACCACTCTTCTTATGACCCTCCTGTTGCCCTTTGAAACCGTTGCTAAACTCCAGTTGAAAGGGGAAAGAGGAAACAAATCATAAAGCTTTTCTTTTAGGCCATTATTCAGTCTCTGATCCAGAAAGGGTCTCAGAGTCCTTAGCAGGGACCTAAAATATTCATGTGGGCTGCGTTTTATGTCATCACTCGAGTATTTACCCATCAGAATCGATTGGTTCCAGACTTGTTGGCCAACTAATGAATTCTGCAAAACAGCCCTTGGGTTGGTTTTCTGTAGCACTGGTGATGCTCACGGCTCTTTTCTCTCTATTCATAGTTTCATTGTGTCCTTGTGGATTTCTACCCCCCCCCCCCCACACACACACAAAGAAAAATGTCATGAAATATTAGAGCTCAGGCTTATGGGAGATTATTTGCTCAAACTTCCTCATTTTACAAATCGGGAAACCAGAATCCATGTTGGGGAAGGGATTTGGAACCGCCGGCATAGTGTCCTTTCCACCGTGCCACTCCACCACACAAACCTTGGGCTGAATGAAGGTCGCTATAAATCTTAATTCCCAGCCCTTACCCAGCCCATCCTGTGTGCCAGGCACCAAGCTAAGCCTTCCGCGTAACTTAACATGTTCAACCCTGACAGCATCCCGGACATCATCCTGTCTCTCAGAGAGGTTAATAACCCGCCCAAGGTCACACAGCCAGGAAGAGGTAGAGGTAGGATTTGAACCCAGAACATGAATTCAGCATCTGTCACTAAGCTGCACTGCCTTTCAGAATAGCAGCTATCATTTTCTATGTTTCCTTCATTCTTGTACCAGAAATCAGGATTATTACCCTGATTACTTTATAAAAACGCACAGAGACTCAGTAAAAGATTTCTTTCTGGAGCATCCTGTGTCGGGCCCCAGGCTTCTAACTCCAGGGTGGGCGTGTGCTCTCTGCCCGGGCTGCAGGTCCTGGTGGTCCGGCTTCGGGACAGCCTGATGAAGATGGGTGAGGAGCTCTCACAGGCAGCCACGGCCGAGTCCCAGCAGAGGGAGAACAGCCAGTATTACCAGCGGCGCCTGGAGGAGCTGAAGGCAGACATGGAAGAGCTGGTGCAGCGGGAGGTCGAGGCCAGCCGGCGGTGCATGGAGCTGGTGAGTGTGGTCCTGTGATGGAGGGTTCAGGAGGGGAGCCCTCCTTCCTTCTGAATGGGAGCCTCAGGGCCTGGTCCCTGGGGCCTTTGGGGGTAGACCGGAAGCAGGGAAGAAACCGGAAGGGGATGGGCTGTGAGCCGACACTGCGGTGGGCTGCTAACGGCCAGGGGCAGGTCCAAAGTGAGCCAGTGGCATTCACTCCTGCAGGATGACTTCCAGCTACGTTTGTGTCTCAGACTCCGGACTTTCTCTTCCTGCCTCACACATTCTCCTCCAGAGGCAGGGCGGCCTCGTGCAAAGAGGAGAGAACCAATGTTTATTAAATGTCTCCCTTGCATGGAGTCTTAGCACCCATAATGCCGTGTAAGCGTCATAATAACCCTGTGAAGTCAGTATTATTATCCCATTTTACAGATGAGGAAACTGAGGCTTGACAGAGCTGAGATAATTAGTCAAGGTCATACCTTGTAAATGTCAGAGGTCTTTCTGGGCTGTTAACAGCAACCACAAAGATAAAAGATAAAAAAGATCATGCTAAACCCACCATTTATTAAGCACTGGCTATGTGCCACGTTCTGAGTTAAACCTTTCTTGTTTAAATCTTCCTGTCAGTACTGTGAAGTAGATGGGAAAACTGAGGCACGGGGACACACGTGCCAGATTGAGGCCCAGAGTGGTACATTCACCTGCCTGAGGCCACGTGCAAGTAAGACTTGGAACCCAGGTCTGCCCAACTCTGTAGTCTCTACTTTTATTCACTAAGCCATGCCTGTCCCCTGGTGTGGCCCAAGGTGCATTTTAAAATTTGTTTCCTTCCCAATGGGAAGGTTTCTCCAGTGTTCACTGTATTTTTCTGAGAACAGTTTCCTGCGGGGATCACAGAGCGTCTGAGAGTGCCCACTCCTCCTTTTCCCCGCGAGCCCAGATATCCCCGAGCCTCTAGGTTTCCGCTTCTGCAGCCTGGGGGGCATCTGGCACCCCCTTTGCCCTCCTCCATAGAGCCTTCTCTGAGACAACCCAGAACGTGCTGCCGTTCAGCCCAGAGGGCTTTAAGTCACCGTCGTCATCTCCTCCCTGCCCTGTCCACTCTGGTTTTGTGACAGGTCTCACCACCTTGTCCTCCTGCAGCAAGTATGTTTCCCGGGCCACTGCCTCCCGCGGCCAGTGTCATCCCCATAGCTCTGCCCCTGACAAGCCAGCAGCCCGGCTGTCATGTCGGGATGAGGTGAGGCTCCGCACAGAGACCCAGGTTCCCAGGCAGATCCAAGCTCCGTGACTGGCAGCGCCTCCACCCGCCTTGGCCCTGGGAGAGGGAAGGGCTCTTTCTTCCAACTGCCGGGCTAACTTCCTCATTAACCGGCCCTGCTGCTCTTGCAGCTGTGTCCCCTCCTGCCATCTCTGGCTGCAGCGAGAGAACATCCCCAGCACTCCTCCTCCGATGTCTTCTTCAGCTGGCCGGACACCAGGCTTTCCCATCACATCAGATAGTGGTTTTCCTCCTCTCCCCTCTGCTCTTTTCCTCGCTCTCCCTCTCCCTCCTCTCCTCTCCCCTCCTCCCCTTTCTTCCCACTTTCCTGTCCCTACCCCCATTCCCAGGGACACGTTCGGATCTTTAAAGGCCCTAAAATCTGGAAAAGATTATAACGCAACCCCCATATATGGGTCAAAACTGCGAAGCAAGCTTATGTGTATGCTAAAATGGGACTTGCATCTTTCTCTGTTTTCTCATCGTAAGATTCTGGGTAAGCTTACCGAGGCTGAACTATTCTTTTTATTTTGGTGTGTTTGGGGTTGGGCAGTGTATCAGTTTCCAGGGCTGTCTTAGAAATTTACTCCAAAGTGGGGGGTTTAAAACAAAGTGGGTGGTTTAAAACAAGAGAATTTTATTCTCTCACGGTTGCGAAGGCCAAAAGTCAGAAATCAGAGTATTGGCAGGTCTATGCTCCCTCTGATGGGTCCAGGCCAGAATTCTGTGCTCTTCCAAATTCTGGTGGTTCCGGGTGTTCCTTGGCTTGTGGCCGGGTCACTCCAGTCTCTGCCACTGTCTTCACATGGTTCCTCATCCTGTGCGTGTATGTCTCAGATACCCATCTGCCTTCTAAGGCCACCTGTAATTGGATTTAGGGCCCACTCTAAATCCAAGTTGATTTCATCTCAGGGCGCTTACTTTAATTTCATTCATAAACACCCTTTTTCTGGATAAGGCCATATTGACAGGTTCTGGGAGGACGTAACTTTTGGGGGCCACCCTTCGGCCCACTCCGGAGGGAGGGCGTGTTCTTCCACAGCCGGTTGTTTCTGCAGTGATTCCGTGCATGGGCAGGGCTCACGGGGACAGTGTTAGGCTGGCAGACCTGTCCTAATAGGGGATGTCCCGAGCTCACCAACCGACCTGCCCTCAAGTAGGCCCCTTGCCTTTGAGCCCTGGGATATTTCCTCTGGGGGAGGAGAGGATATCATATTTTCCTACTTTCTCATTTATCCATTTATTCATTCAACACCAACTCTGGGCCTGGCACGGGGATGGGCATTGGAGGGGAGGGGCGGGGAATCATAACGTCCCTGATTTTTACACACTCACAGTGTGGACAGAATGCTGCTCAGTGGGAGAGTTCAGTGAACACTGTCATTTTCAGAGGAACGCTGTTGGTGAGGCCCCTCCCGTTGCGTGGCATCCTGGCACTTTTCCAGGCATCCCAGGAGGTGACATCTCACCTCTCAGGTTCATGTCTGTGCCACCAATCTCCCTTCCTCCACCCTACCCCTGTAAGGGAAGGGGGGAGCTTCTCTGTGCCCTGTGTTCTCGATAAACTTCACCTGCAAGGCAGTCAGTCAGGGTTCTGGTTCTTTCGTTCATGCGATTGGTTTTATCCCTAGGTTTTACTCTGGGCCAAACCCAGTGCTGGATGTTGGGGACCAACAGGGAACAAGACACACCCTCACCCTTGAGGAGCGCGTGCTGAAGGGAGAGATATTGCCAAGGCCATCGCTTGTGTATTTTATATGTTTCTCTGCAGTGGTCGCTCAGAGATTTCACAGGCAAAACAAGGGTCTGTGTGCTGGGATTTGGAGGGTTCCTAGAAGACCAGTTGGCATCATGCTCCCGGTCATCACCACAAATCACTCCTTTGAGTAAACCATTGCCCATTTCATCTTCTATTTTTAAAGCTCACATCTCTCTGGGAGGGATAGTGAATTTCTGAGCTCCCTGGGCCAAGCATACCTTCCTTCCTTCCTTCATTCCTTGGACAAACATTGACTGAGTCGCTCTGGGCTTAGGCTCTTTGCAGATGTCATCTTCTTTCACGCTCACGTCGCCCCAGCAGGTATGGACGCAAGGGGTGCCTGGCCCAGGGCTGCAGAGTCAGGAGTGGCGGAGCTGGGATCGGCTTCCCTGCGTGTCCAGTGCTAAAGCTTTCACTGGGACACCACGTTGCCCTCCCAACCCAACCCTGCCGAAAAATGGCTCTGCTGTGGAGACCCCAAAAAGGATTCCACACTCTGGGCCCTGGTGAGAAGCAGGAAGGATATCGATGGATCTCCCCTCAGTGTTCCTTTCCGCCTGTCCCACCCTGTCCCATCTGTCACTGTTGGTGTTGGTTTAAAGGGCCGCGGGTTGTTCCATGTGAGTGATTTATACCGCGGGCTGGCGAACCGGCATGTCCAGATCAGGATCAGTTACCCGCCGATGGAACTTCTCTTTCCAGAAAACAGAAAAATGAGGTTTGGCCATTAATTTTCGTAAATGCACTGTTCCTGGCGACTCCAGGAACCATTATGGAGAAAAGAATATTCTGGCTCTAAGTCATTCAAGTCCCTTTTCCACTGGGGTGGCAAGACAGCTTATCCGTGGGTTTATATCCTGTTGTTTTTCAATAGTTAACAGAGCTCAGGGGAAACCACCTCAGCCCCAGGTCAGGGTGACCAAGGGCGGGCAAGGACAGTTGGGAGAGTTAGAGCTGAGGGTGGCAGGAAGGCCTGCCCTCTGCCGGCTTGCAGCCAGATGCACTGGCTTTGGCGGCTGCACCTGTCGGGTTGCCCTTCAGCACCTTGGCCTGACTCTCTGCAGTCTTAACTTTCCCCTGAAAACCTTAGATGGTGCCTCTGCTCGCTCTTAGCTCAGCACCCAGTGACCCAAGCTAGAAATCACGGTGGCCCATCTGTCTCTGAGTCATACAGATGAATGGCCACACCTGCTGATTTTATCCTACTGAGGTATTTTTCAAATCCATCCTTTCCAGTCCCAGCCCCGCGTCCTCTGTCTCTGTTTTAATCTGTAGCCCCTCTGGTCTGGGCCTGTACAGTTACCTTGTATCTTGGCTCCCCACCGTTCCTCCACTCTGGCTCCTTCCTGCCAAAGTCATTCTAGAAGGGACACATCTTACTGTGTTGCTCTTCTGCTAAGAAATCTTCCATGGCTCTGCACTGCCTCCAGAGCAAAGCCTCAACTTCTTCGCAGAAATCTAGCCTCTGTAGCCTCCTCTGCCTTTGTTTGTCTGCCTCTCGTCACCTCGCGTGATCTACTCAAGCACAAAGGTGTCAGGCCCCAGCGCCAGGTCATTTCTGGGCTCGTCACCTTTGTTCTCCTGCATCCCTCTGCCCGCCTGCTCAGCCTGGAACAGGTCAGCGCTCACCTCCAGGAAGCCCTCCCTGTTACCCCCACCTGTCACTAAGTTACGTACCTCCTCTGTGTTCCCACATCGCCTTGTGCTCACCCCGTTCATACGAGTTATTGTCATTGCTTGTGTTCTTATCTTCCTAGACAGGGAGCACCTGAGAGAGGGGTGTGGGTTTTATTTGACTTTTGGTGTCCAGTTTAGGGTTAGGCACAGGTAGATTCTCAGAAATTGCTGAATGAATAGTTTCCACAGCATTTTGAAGTTTTACCTTTTGAGAGAACAGCTCAAAAATAATCTTAAAAATTGGAACTTTCAGATCAACACACTTTACTTTGCGTCCTACCATGTACCCGTCCCTGTGTCTGATGTTATGGGAGATGC